CTCATTTCCACTTTACTATCGCTTTCTGGCCCACATGTGATAACGTCCCAAGACTTCCCAGGTGTCTCCGACATGCTGACCAAAGTCCTGAAATCAGACTTCATGGCATGTGCTGCTACCTGCCTTCCAAGTGGCCTAACCCTACCCTCCAACCTCAGTTAGAAACTGCAGGTTTCCTCCCTGTCTGTTCCCAGTATCTCTCCGGCCAGGCATGAACAGAAAGGATGGAAAGGGAGAAGAGTTCCTAGCTATTCCCAGGTTCCCAGCCCATACAGAGTATGTTGTTTCTTACCATAGTCCTTCCCACCCTCCGTACCTAGACTTTCTTGCTGGCTTGGCAAGCTGTGCTCTCTTGCTTGCTTTCCCTCTCTCTCTTTCTCTCTCTTTCCAACATGGAGCAAAACCAACCTCTCATCTCTTGTATGGCTTGGGGAGGTTGTCATGGGAACATGGCACACTATCCCACTTAAACTTGAATGCAAAATGATTAGTGGCTGACTTGAATCGCCCAGGAATCTGAGGAGGACACAGAGGGCTCCAGTTTCTCATAAATGAACAGCAGAAAAGTACATACCCTGCGGCTGAGTGCAGCCGGTAGGCATTACCATTCCTCTAATGGCAAGCCAAATGTCCGTCAAGGAGGATGATCTCCAATCTGGAGGATGGTGGTGAGGGAGGAAGAAGAGGAGGCTCAGCACAAGGCCGGCACAAGGCACAATAACAGGGCTAGTGTTCACGCCAACAACTTTTCGGGTGTGGATTAAAATAAGAATTGAAGTCTTTGGTGCCTGCTTGGGGGTGTAGCACCCATGTGCTTCAATCCTATCAGCTTATATATATATTTATTGATTGATTGTTTATTTGCGTTGTTTCTGACATTTTAATAGGGCCCAGTGACCAAATTCTCAAGACACTTTTTAAAAGTTCAACTTAGCTATAAAAATAGATTCAAAAGTTTAAAAAAGCAAACAACATTAAAATAAATTGACAAATATCAATACAATTAATAAAAGCGATAAATAAACCAATGTCCTGATCCTATTGTTTATTTGCAACTAGAGGATACCCGCTAAAACAAATACTGAATGGTGACTCAACACTTAAATAAATCCTACTGTTTCAGGGGGAAAAAATATTCAGGGTAGCTGTGTTGGCCTTGCAGGAAAATACAACACAGTCCAAAATCCACAAGCAGCGATATCTTAATTGAGCCAGCTCCAAAGCATAAGATGTATTATGTAAACTTAAAATGTAAAAACATAATATACATTATGCAAGTTAATTGGGTAGGATTGTTCTACCGTAATTGGGATGAACAATAGGAATGGGGCCAGGATCAATGCAACCAACAACCAACATACAAGCCTAGCACCCATAAAGACTGGCATAAAAACTGAGACAAGACAAGCAAAAAGCGTAACCAATCTGTTGTCATTGTCGTGTGCCTTCAAGTTGTTTCTGACTTATGGCAAGCCTAAGGCAAACCCATCATGGAGTTTTCTTGGCAATTCTCTTCATTGCCATTGCCATCCTTTGAGGCTGAGAAAGTGTGACTTGCCCAGGGTCACCCAATGGGTTTACATGGCTGAGCTGGGATTTGAACCCTGGTCTCCAGAGTCATAGTCCAATATTCAAACACCTACACCACTAATCTAAAAAGGGGGACAACAATTAGTACCCAAGTTCTACAATGCACTCAAAAGCATATCACTAAAAAGTTTGAGAAAATGAGAATTTCTTCCTCAGATTTCTGAAAGATCACAATGCAGGTGCCAGTGAGCCTCTCTCTGAAGAGGGCATTCCATAACTAGAGTGCCACCACACACATACATATACACATACACACATTATCCCTTGTGACCTCCCATCCCACAGAACCTCAGTCTTAGTCTGCTTGCCTGGAAACCATCATGCCTTTGCGGTTTGTTGGGCAGCTGATGGGATTTCTATAGCTCTGCAGGTCAAGAATGCACAATCTGTGTACTCTGAGGATGACAAGGGATCCTCCTACTGGCCTGACCAAGATAATGCTACTTATTCTTTATACGCCATACTGCATTGCTGAAAAAGATTTCAAGGACTTTTACACAATACTTACATTGGGGTAAGAACAGTGTGGCCCTCCAGATGTTGTTGGTTTGCTATCCACTGCAGCCCAAGCCACCAGAGGAATGCTGAAAGTTGCACTCCAATAATGTCTGGAGGACCACATTACCACCACCCCTTTTATAAGGTAGGTAGATTGATATTACCATACTGATTGATTGATATTCCCATGCTTTTATAAGGTAGGTAGAAAGAATTCCCTTACCTGGGATCATAC